TTGTACAGGGACCTTCCGGTTTCCGGATTCACAGGGGAACCGACTAATCCAGAATCGAGTCGGGTAGGACCACAAGGGCGACAAAGCTCTCCCTCAAATTGATGTGGATTTTGATGTTAGTAGCTCCAACCGACTCCTAAAGCCCAAAACGGGGGAGGAAAATAGAAAATGGACGAGGAAGATTTATCTAGCCGAGTGCCAAATGAATATTCATATTGCGTTCTCTCATTAACAAAACGCATATTTACGTTTGATCGCAAAAATTGCATTTTGAGTTTTTGAAATTGCAATCTCATCCATCGTGTAATAGTCACATAGTTGGTACAATAATCGAAAGGAAAAAGATAATTAATTCTTCAAATTGCTAATGTATACGTAAAAAAATATATTGGTTTGTTCAATATGTTAAAAAATTTATCGTTCATATTATATCTCAACGTGTATTCTAAGAAAATTTATTGATCATATTATATGAGCATGTATTCTCGTCATTAATTAATATAATTATTACATTTATCCTTTAATTCATTAATATATCGGAAGGTAGCTCGCCACAAGCTGCAGATCGATAGTACAGTCAGACCAATGATACAAAAGAGGAGAAAGCTTAGACCAGACAAGAAACAAGTCCCGAAAGAGGAAATGATAAAGTTGGTTGACAACCAATTCATCTGAGAGGTTCGCTACCTGACCTGGGCTCAAGTCCAATGTTGGTAAAAGAGAACATTGGATTGTGGCATCTGTGCATAGATTTCTCAAACCCAATCAAGGCTTACCGAAAGGATAGCTATCCCCTCCCACGCATTGATTTTATGGTGGACGCAACTTCGGGTAATGAATTTATGAGCTTAATGGATGCATACTCAAGCTACCATGAGATCCCTATGGACCTAGATAAGGAAGAAAACACCTCCCTTTACTCGGTCGGAGGACTTTATTGTTATAAAATGATTTCGTTCGGGTTGAAGAATGCGAGTGCGACCTACCAAGGCTCGTCGGCAAGATGTTTGCTAGCCTGATAGGAGATGTACTGGAGGTTTAAGTGGATGATATGTTGGTT